ACCAAGGACGGGCAACCCGGCCCATTGGATCCGGGTACGTGGGTACACCCGGAAGAACCCGACGGAGGGACCGGTCCCCTCTGGAGCGACGACTTCAGCTCCTTCAGCATGCCGTCGACTTCCCTGTCCATCAACGGCCGGCCGCTGGCTTGGTACGGCCCCACCTGCAGAAACAGCACCAGAAGTACTCCGGCCAGGACCGCCGCCGCCGCCCGATCAATAACGACGACCCTCATGATGATTAATCACGGTATGTATGTATCTTGATTTCTGATTTCGGGGTGCTGAAACTATAAGGGTCTGTTTGGGAGAATTACTTGGAATGTATGGAGGGAATTGTTTTGGAGGGAGGGAGGCAATGGGATAATTATGTGGTTTTATACTGTGAGGGTGTTCGTTTTTGGGAGGGATTTCTGACCGTTGACTGGAAATATAATACAGTCAAATATATTGAACGAGTCCGGCATGTACAAATGTTACGTATGTAGTGGGTAATTAAGCCAATGGTTTAATAATAATAATAATAATAATAATCAAAATTGATTAATTAAGGAAGTGAGATTTGAGGAGCTTGAGTCCCAAGTATCAATCTCAGCTACTGTCGTGGTAATACCGCCGACGTGATAGTGTAGCTGCAGGAAGTTTCCCGGATATATGGATGTAAGCTGCCTCCTGACCGGCCGGGGGAGAAGCTAGCTCAACGTGGCATTTCTTTCTAGTGTCAGTGATGACATACATATATAACAGGTAGAGAGGAATGGAAATATTATTTATTGGGGGGGATTAGGTGGGTAGGGAGACTAATTAAGTAATTTGATGCCTGAATTATATTTAATTAACCACTACTGGTTCATCGTCACCATATTAGAGGTGTCGATAGGAAGGGTCAAGTCAAGTTTAACTAGGTTGCGGGTAAACTGGAGTACGACGAGTTAATGAGTTGCAGGTTTGTTGGATTACGAGTTTATTGGATTATATCAAGGTTGTTAACCCGCGGGTCGAACCGGATTAACCCGGATCCGGCCAAAAAAACGGGCCATACTAACCCATTTTACTATCAGCCCGGAAATGGTCAAACCCGGGTTGGCCCGGCCGGTTAGCCCGTTGGAACGGGTCAGCGGGCTGATCTTCCTGAGCCCCGTTTGGCCGTTACGGCGCCGTTTTGGCTTGGACGGTCCACTTCTTCTTCTCCCTGCAGCGAAACCCTAGACTCTAGAGACTCCATTAGCCGCCCATTTCGATTTCCATCAGGCTGAAGCGCAGCCGTGTCCTGCTCTCGCCATCTCCAGGGTTCTTTGGCGGCGTGGTCGCGGTCGCCGGCGGAAGATCAGGTCGGCCTTCACGGCTCCGTCTCTCCTCCCTTCAGCTCCGCCTCTGCTCGGCCCTGCTCGCGCCTCTGCTCGGCCTCCTCTGCCTGGCCACCTCTGCTCGTGAGTCGCACCTCTGCTCGGCCTCCTCTGCCTGGCCGCCTCCGCTCGCTAGAAGTGCTCGGCCTCCTCTGCCCACCCGCCTCTGCCCGACCGCCTCTTCAGTCTTCACTCTTCACAAACTCAATATCCATTTGGTAAGGGTTTGATCTCTGAGACTTGATACAATTTTGTAAATGGAAACGAATGAATGGTTGATACAATTTTGTAAATGGAAACGAATTTTGTGAATGGTTTCATTTGGTAAGGGTTTGACCTTTGAGACTTGACTCCAATAAATGGTTTCTTTCTTTCGTATAGCTATGGTTTGATACAATTTTGTGATATTCAGGTTTTTGGATTCAGGATAAATAGAATACATTGGCTCTTTTCAGATTTCCGGGCTAAGCCGGGCTAAACCGGGCTAAAACGGGTGACCCATTGACCCATGACCCACTAGCTCGTCCGGGTTCGGGTCGACCCGCGGTTTGACAACCTCATTATATATATGAGTGAATGACTGATTATTATTTTGGGTGTAGGAAAACATTTTGTCACTTAAAATTTGGTAAACTCCACAAATTCTCGTATCACTTTTATCCGTCACTTTCTTACTACTCAAACTTAAATGAAAAAAAAAAAGAATTTTTTTATAATCGTCAGTAGTCCGAACATGCAACAGCCAACATGCAAGCCCAATCTATAATCATCCAAAAGTATTTAAACAATGGGGTAAACTCTGCTTCATGTTATTAAACACAACAAAATTATGACTCGTATCATCAAATAGGTTTAACATCTAACCTCTTATAGGGGGCCGGATCCCATAACTAAGGGGTTGTCCGGTCTATAAATCTGAACACACCAATTTGACGGTTAAAAAGTAGGAAAGAGTTTTTAATTGATGACAGAGATAGTTTGGGTATTATGACAGTTATTAATTATACGAACCGGACTTACAAACAGTACAAACCATACAAACAATAGAAACTAGAGCGATAACACATACAAACAGATTTACAAACAATACAAAATATGCGAACTATACAAATAATACAAACTAGACCGACAAACATTACAAAGGCTCAGTTTGGCCCTGCTGTAGCTTTTGCAGAAGCAGTTTCTGGCTTGAGCTTTTAGAGAAGTACTTTAAAAAAAACACAGTTGAGTGTTCGGCCGAAAAACTATTAAAAGTGCTTTTTAATATGAGAGGTTGTGTAAAATGACTATAAATGATTTATAATATAAACTATGAATAATAATTCTATGAATAATAATTCTAAACAATTAAATGTAGTCAAAATGGGATCTTGTTAGACTTCTTTTATATTCCCTATGTTTGGCCCGGCTTTTAAAAGTCCTTTTCGGGTTCAAAAGCTGAAGCAGGGCCAAACACATCTAAAAGCTCGGCTTTTGAAAAGCCGAAAAACGCTTGTGTATAACATAAAAGCAAAAGCTCCGATTTGGAGCTTCTGCGAAAAGCTGTTTTGAAAATACAAGATTATCCTAACCATATTTTAATTTTATTTCAGAAAATATAATTTTCTTTCATTTATATCATTTTAAAAATAAAATAAATTTTAAAATCATATTATTTAATATAAAAGAAGTCTAATAAGATCCATTTTGACTACATTTTATTATTTAAAATTATTATTCATAGCTTATATTATAAGACCTTTATAGTCATTTTACGCAACCTCTAATATTTAAAAGCACTTATAATAGTTTTTCAGCCAAACACTTAACTGCTTTTTTTGAAAAGTACTTCTCTAACAGCTCAAGTCAGAAGCTGCTTCTGCATAAGCTACAGCAGGGCCAAACTGAGCCAATTAAATAATATATTTTTATTTTTTAAAATAATATAAATGAAATAAAATTATAATTTCTGAAATAAAATTAAAATATGGTAAGGATAATCTTGTATTTTCAAAACAGCTTTTCGCAGAAGCTCCAAATCGGAGCTTCTGCTTTTATGTTATACAAAAGCGCTTTTCGGCTTTCCAAAAGTCAAGCTTTTAGAGGTGTTTGGCCCTACTTCAGCTTTTGAAGCCGAAAAGCACTTCTATAAGCCGGTCCAAAACATAGGCAAAACATACTAACAGTACAAAATGTCACTACTTACAATACAAAACAGTAAACTTGTATTACAAATCAATGAATACAAAATATACAAATCACAACATAAAGTATACAAACTAGACAAACAAACATTACAAATTACAATGTATACATATTAGTCATATAAACATTACGAACGTAATAGATAAAAATGACAAAATAAAATGATAAACGATACAAACCGAATTGATACAAAATCACAAAACATACTTACAAACATTACAAAATCGTCTAACAAACATAACAAAACAGACGTTGTCGGACAAAATCCTCTCCGCCGCCGCCGAAAAATTCACCGATGACGAAAAATACTCTCCCTCTCTCTGTCCAAAAATTCCCCAGAAATGGACGGCGGCAGGAGGGCGGGATGACACGTACTGTATTTTTTTACTTTAATTATTAAATAAATTATGTAACTACAACACCTGATAAATCTGAATCATTAGATTTCTAATGATGTTCAATGGCTGAGATTGCCTTAGTCATGTGACTAAGGGACCCCTCTTAGGCATCTGATCTTAGCCCCTCCTATAGCGATCTTTCTCCTTTACCGGTTGGACCTCCGACCCAATATTGATAATGTTGATCCCAACTTCTACAAAAATTACATCACAAAAAATGTTGTGAATAAATTATGCGTGCTATTTTATGTCAATAATAGAAAATTACCAATATCAAAATTTTAATTTTGTTTAAATTTCACTTTATCATATATTCGATAATCATTGATAAATGTTTGAAGAGAATCGTAAATAAAAAAGTGAAGTACGAACAACAAACCAGTACCAATACAAAAAATAAAACCAAAACCCTCCAACAAAACAACGAGTATAAACTAGTATCAGTACAAATTCAACCAATATAAAAATAGTACAATTAAAAGAATCAACCGGTATCAGCATAAATAAAAACTCATAACAATTCACCAGCCCCAAATTTTGAAGTGGAAAACGGCTCCGCCACAAGCTTTTTCTGAAGAGAGACAAAGAGCGAGTATGTGCACTTGTACAGCGACAACGATAGATAGAACGACGTCAGAGCTACAGAGGAAGAGAAGAACTCACCGATTTTGCATCATCACTGAAGAGAGATGGAATTCGTCAAAAAAAAAAAAAAAACTGAAGAGAGAAGGAACCAGAAAAATTGAATCAGAGAAAGGGAGTGAGGGAGAAAGAGGCCCGCAATGGGTATACTGCGCCTGCTGTATTGAAATGAAAGCCTCGTCATAGCAACACTAAAACAAAGCTTGGTAAGGGTTGGAGGCATATAAATAAAGCACAAAGCAAGAAAAGAAGACTCTTTACAGAACGTATTCCTTATGAAAAAAGAAGAATACAACCTCAACCATCCATCCATCCATCACTGATCACTCCAATCTAAGGACCCTCTCACATTATTACAAGCAGATAATCACCAACCCCAGACTCTTAAATCTGGCTGGTACTTCCGCTTCTCCACACCATTTCCCTCATCTCAGTGTCCATTCGACGGCCGATACACTGTATACCCATTCACCCCACTGGCCAGATTCGAGTAGTCGGGGCTGAAGTAGGCCGACGAGCCATCACCCTCCGAATTTCTCGTCCCACCTAGCGAAAGATCAGTACTCGACATATGCCACAGGTTAGAGACCAAGCCATCCATCATCTGCCCATTACTGTAAGGCAACAGACTATTACCCTGTGGGATGTAGTCCCTTATGGAGTCATACGGCCCCCCTCCGAAAGAACTGTACCCTCTCTGGAACACCCCGTCCTGGTAACTCCTTGCCCTCTCAAATCTGCATGAACTGCTGCTGGGTGAGGAACATAGATCACCACCGCCGGATGCTCCCAGATCACTGGGGAAAGATGACTGTCTACTCAAGTAGTGAGGTCCGTTGTTGCCGAAAGGGTGGAATCCTTCAGCAGTCCTCCCAATAACATGCTCGTCGTCTAGCAAGTCGTTGATGATATCTAGATGCGGGAACTCATCTGTCGAAACACCAACTTGATGCTGACGACCAGATGTGGAGGCCGGCAACTCTGCAGGGAACTGATCCCCTCGGGATCCCCCGCTGTTGCCGTGAGCATGGTTGTACAAGTCGAGGTTCTGAATTCCATTAAGCAAGGATGACGAAGGAGAAGAGTCATAGTGCATACCTCTGCTTGAATCCCTCTGATAAGAACTCTCAATCCATTGATGTCCGTTATGCAACACGTCCCTTGACGCCATCATTGCAAATGGAGGGTAACCAGATTGCACTGAGTTCTGTTGTGGGGGTGCTGTTGACAAATTCCTAGCAGAACTTGGTGAGCTGGGATGACTGTAACTGGTTGAAGTTGCGACAACAGAGTTTCCAACAATGGCATTCCGGTAGGACTGAGGGATATAGCTTTGTGAGGTCAAGGTAGGGTCCGGACCCAAACGTCCGGTTGCACTCACTGACCGAGAAATTGATGGACTTGTTTGAACCTTTGAGGATACTACAGGAGTAGCCGGTCTAGGTCCAGGAACCAGAGGAGCACTTGAGGGCCTTGAAACAACAGGGACTTGCTGTTGTTGTGTTGGCTTATCGGACAACTTTGGAGCTGAGGAAGCATTGTGGGGTTCAGGTCTGAGCAATGGACTTGGATTTTGGCTGTGGGCACCGGCTGGTCCTTTCTCAGCTGCCGGTTGTGATGAAGGTGTAGATATGTTGTTCTTGACTTGTGCAGAAGTATCTACCGTAGGTGATATTTTCTTTTCTGGTTTAGCTGGAATGGCAGGAACAGGACTTTTAGAACGGGTAGCTGGTGAAGGTTGTATTGATGTTGTCTTCTCTTTAGAGTGCTTTTCCAACTCAACAACTTTCATGGTGCTTGGTTTCTTGGATGGTGATGCAACTTTCTCCTCCTAACAAGCAGAAAAATAACATACTCACTAAAATGAAGAGTCCGAACAAACAAACCACAGATTGTTCTTAAACCCTAATCCTCTTTCAAGCAACTAATATACCGAATAAGCAGAGACAGTCTTTAAGGGTTTCAGGCCCTCGCAATTTCTAAAGAACATGAACAGAAAACAAAGGCGTGACAAAATAGAATAATGTATTTATCTGCCTGTACTAAAAAGTATTTGACTTTTCTTTGAAAATTAATTAGAAGCGAAGAAAAGCATGTTTTTGGGGTCAAGAAAAAAGTTAAGTTTATGGTATGTGAGATAATTTTCAATTATAAACAAGGTAATGCCATTGTAAATTGTTTGTTCAATGAAAAACAAATTAGTGGGTTCCCATATTTTATATTATGAGTAAGAATACATGCCTATCTCAAAAGGGCATAGTTAAATATTATTGGTCAGCTAACTTTTAGAAATTCTACAAAGTTAGATTGAAGTAGCGTGTTTGTTTTCCCTTTAGGGTCAACTTATTTCTTAAGTAAGTTATTCTTTTAGCCAACTCAGACACCCCAAGTAGACGATAACCACCGATGTACCTTTTTAACGACATGCTGCTCAGCTCTAGTTGTTGTATCATGCAAAGTACGGGCAGCCGCCTGAGACACACATTCATTAGACTTGCCACTTCCAGTTCCAGCATTAAGATCTTCCGAGTCTATTGCAGAACCAGAGGGCTGACTATCTGCTTCAGAACCCCAACTCCCATCACATGTCATCTTACCTCGGTGGTTTTTCCCCCTACAAGGCACAAAGTTACATACTTTACATTAACCAACATGGAACATAACCTCGTTAGGAAAACTTTCTAAGGATAGAATCCGCTTGTACCTGCTAGGTGACTTTTCACACTGGTAGCTTGAAAATGAGCTTCCTTTGTAGGGTCCATTTGTAACTACAGAGGGCACCGAATCAGTTGAGCATGTTGATGAACTGTCATCCATCGCAGATACACCTCTTTTCTCAGCAGCTCCATTTGCAACTGATGATAACCCACTAGCCGCACTGCTGCTGGCTTCAGTGGGCGGATGAAGTTCTGAGGTATCAGTATCCCAATTTACAGGACTAACGTCTCTGTCTTCTGAATCAAGCTGGAGCGGTTCACCAGCACCATCGACTGAATCAGAAACATCAGAGGCATCTTCTGGCACATCAGGCTTCTCGTCCATAGGTTGCGCCTCATCCTCAAGGGAAACACTGTTAGCATTCTCTTCCAGGTGGTTGTCTAATGCTGCTGCGGCTTCCTTCCCTTTTTCCTTCCCCTTACGATTATTGCGTTTCTGTTTAGCCTAACATTCAAAAAAATATCAATAGTTAAAAGAAAATGGACAACTGTTGCTTAAAAAGGAACTCTACAGTTCATCCTGAAGAGATTATGCAATCACAAACAGGAAGGGTACTCATTCAACCAAAAAGAGGGTAAAGATCTGAAATACATAACGTCCATTAAGGTTGACGTTGTACGAAAACACTACATGAATGAAATTTCTAGCAGAAACTAATCCATGCAGCATGCCTGTCAGTCTTGTTCAACTGAAAAGGAGCATAGAGCATGCATAATTTCAATGCTCACTACAAAAATAAAATAAGAGTAGCATACTTGTTTTTTCTTAGATTTCTTTTCCTTTTCAGTTGCACCACGCTTAGCCTTTTGTTCGCTCACAGCCATCCATGCTTCCTCTTCTTCACGAATCAACTCTTCTTGCCTCTTCAAAGCAACAGCTTCCTGGTAGGCAACTTCAATCTTATGGCTACATATAAAGGGGAATACTTTAGCTCAGAAAGAAACTTCACACAGAGCATGTCTTCCCTTATGTACAAGTTTATTGGTAGAAAATCAAAAGGCTCGGAGATTAGGCGTCGTAAAATGTCTCGAGACAACTTTTGAATTGATAACATACTTGAATATGTGAGCAAGGACAAATATTTCCACAGTCCTACGGCCCAATTCTGTAAGGCGCCTTTCATCACGCTCAATAGAATCCTTGTTAAAGTCATCCCCTGAATTCCCATCCTGCATAGACATCTATAAGTGTTTAACAGACAGCACAGGTATTCCAATCGCTACATGCTAATCATGATTGTATTACAGCAAGAATGTTAAGTTTACTCGTCACAGTTAGTGGAGTCAGGAATGGCAGTAAAGGCTGCATCCTTGTAATCTTACTGATTCTCAGTCCTCATCACGATATCACTATCAAACTTCAGACTGGAAGAACATTAAAACTGGAGTAACTAACTTACTCTTATCTTGCTCTCTTACAAAATCACAAATCAGACTGAAACTACAACATCCATGAATGCAAGTTTTAAACAAGTACGGCAAGAATCCAACTGTTGTAAACATGTGTTCGCACACAACCTTGTCGTCCAATTATTAATCACATGACTTTCTCTTAGTGCTTTAGGTTCAAGCATCCCCATTGCAATGGACAAAAAAATCATTGACTGACCTTTGTGCGATTCTGAGGGCCCTTCTCATCCTTTGGAGGTAAGGGTTCCACAGCAGCCCTCTCAAGTAATAGCAGCACATCATCCACTAAAACAAATGTATCTTTTTCAACACGTACAATAGGAGCTGGGATTTCTTCAGTGTCCAATAACTTCCCTCTTCCTTTCTTGTTCTTAGTTTGCCCTTCAAGAGCCTTTAACCCACTATACAAGGAATCCATCACCAAAGTTGATGTAACTTCCTTCTCTATGAAGAAATGCTTTACAACTACTTTAAGAATAACATCCATCTTCTCCCTAGACATACGGCGCCGAGAAGTTTGATCCATCCCCAACCAGAAAGCACAAAAGCTGCAAGGTTAAAATTTACTGTTATGATCAACTGGAGCCTGAAATTGACACTAGGCAGAGCAATCTATACAGGAAACAAATGAAGACATGAGAACAGCAACACATGACCATCAACTTAGCAACATCAAATCATTCTTGAGCATGGTTCATTTTTGAAAAGCAAGTACCCGGACTCTGTCAACTTTATATCCATAGCTATAACCGAACTGCGGCCACATAACCATAGCTGCAATGTTCAAAGTATAGCCACGCAATAACCATACTCCCAGAAATAGGACGCCACATGGTCAGTGAAACAAATAGTTTTCACTGTGCAAGAAAAAAATTAATACTACAAACAATGAAGGGTAATACCTTGACCACCTATTTTTGTCCTCCAATAATCTACCAAGCTTCCCCCGTCTCTCTTCTACAAAGCGCCGACAGATCTGCTCTACATTTGTCAGATATACTCTCACAAGCTCTCTCCTATATTGACAGTCTAGGCAACGAAAAGGCCGGTCTGTTTTCTCCCTACAGAAATCAAAATTAGAACATTTGATGAAAAAACTGCAGACATAATCATCATAAACCTGTGCAGAAATTTAACCAAACATGACAAAATAAGAACTGTTCAGAAAACTGAAACTCAAGAATTAGAATGGTATACACCATGACATCCTTTCAGTGGTAGCTATTTAAATTCTGATCGCAAGACCTGATATTATCATTAACAGTATGATACAAATAACCAATCCCTTCTAAAGCTGGACATTCCTAGATTCATGCCCATTCTCTATTCGGTATACAAGACCATGCATATGAGCCAGCCAATATATAATTACAGCAGGCATTCGTCATATAAGAGGATACTTAAATATGATATCAGTTAACAATGCTAGATATGCCATCTTCAGTTGTCGATAAATCCAAAGAGAATACACATCGACTCTTGTGCTTTCACAGTTACTTTCTTTTAGCATAGAACGAATAATTTGATGGCAAGCAAGAAACATCACATGCCAAACCACATCAGGATGGAAATCAGGAGCGCAATACACAGCTCTCAAAACGAAAGAAAAGATAAGGAACAAAGATCCAAAAAAATATGAACTATATCAGACACCTGATGACTTGGACTTGAGCCTTTATAATGAGAGTGTCAGCAGCATCTAAGAACCCATCCGACACTTTTGACAGCTCCATAAATTTTTTCCAGCCCCAATCATGCTCTTTCTTCCAAAAACGATGCAACGTATCTACAATAGTTAATTCAATTAATAACATATTTGGGGAACAAGTTTATTCTGCAACCAAGCCAATACTAGACCAACCGACCAGAGTATTTTGATTTCTTTGGATCTTTATTCACCACAGCTATAGTAAACTGGGCAAAATGGCTCCAACCTGGTTCAAATAAGAAAAGAAAATGTTGAAAAGACTAAGCACAAACAGAAAAGAACCAGAAACATCATCAAAGCTGCTTCAAGTTGTAAGTACGACGTACCTGGAAGAAGTTTGTCATGGTTGGCAACACAGAGAAACAAAGAGAGATGATTACACACATCACAGCCTTGGGGATATATCAAAATGTACCTGTTGCTCAAAGAAAAGAGTCTTGAGTAAAAGTTATGTAAATTTCAGAACTAGCCAATGAGTGATTAAATAGCATATTGCATAATGAAAGTGAAGATGAATGGAGGTATCTCGCAAAAAAACACAGAAAGACTGCCATGAAAAGTTCAAATGATAATCCTAAGGATATTGGATAAATTTAATTATTTATATTTTGAGCAGATCTAAAGGGTCCAAAGCAATCACATACGCAAAAGGAGCTGTGCATTTTAAATCCCGAAGGGAAGACACATCATAACAAACAACCCAAGGGAAAGGAGAAATTATGCAAGATCAAAGACAAGTATAAGGTATTGCAAGAGAAAAGTGCAAAGCTTTATACCATTTGTAGCCGCCAACCTCAAATACGTTACTACGGAGTTCTCTCTTGTTGATCTGTGAAAATTTCTCAATCTTCCATGTATATTTTCCATATAACTGTGAAGGTTTCAGCCCTGTGCACAAGTAAAATAGGTGTCAAATATTTGAACCTGAATATAAGAAATGGAATAATAAGAGAAAAACCAATATCAACAGCCCATTGGAAACCATATCAACAGCCATTTGGCATCCGCGCAACACTCATTTGGTCACCAATACAAAGAATAGCATTTTTCAGGCCAGAAGAGAGATAGACTGGTGACACACAAATTTGAAACAAAGAACTATGCCGTACCACCGTCGTCATCATCATCAGTGTCCCAATAAGGGGGTGAAGTTGATGGGGTTCCATTTTCCACCTGCCCGGAAGACCGCCATTCAGCCAAGGCTTCCCCTGATTGACAGCGCTGCCCACTAGAAATCCCGTCAGCAGTTCTTCCACCTCCGGAGTCACCACTTGCAGTCCCAGCCATGTCCCACTTCCTCCCCGGAAGCCTTCAACACCACTCACTGCATAACCATGCATGAAGCAATGTGAAAACAGTTTTAACTTTGAATTTCTATTACACTAGTTTCGGCAGTACAGCATTATGAACCCTTCTCTACTCATCCTATCAGTTTTATAGTGATGCAAAACCCAGAAGGAGAGTAAAGAAACCATCTGATTGCTTACTGTGGATTACAAACAAGTACAAACATGAAAACAAAAACCCAGTGCCGAATTAAGCCTACTGAATGAAACGATTAAAAAAAATCAATAACCTCAAAGTCCAGAAAACAATTTGAAAATTTTAGACTTAATTATTCAAATCCCTAAGCATCCAGATACGACATTTGAGCTCCTCCCAACTCTTTTCCTCAGCGATTTCCCGAGAAAGCAAACAGACGTTCTCCCAATTCGCAGTAAACCGAATTCATGCTGATAAGAGCTACCGAGAACTAAAGCTGGACGAAGAATTGGATGGATTAACCAAAGAGAACAAATTTATCCGATATTAAAACTGAGACAATCTGTGCGGAAAATTTGCATTGAACCCACGCTAATTAGAATTATTCGAAATCTGGTACTACCAATTGAAGATCGAATTCAACCATACGGTGTAAAAAAATACCCCCAAAAAAACCCCCCGATGGAAGAGCAAACCCTAAAGCCGTGACGACAGCCAAACCGCCAACGCGAGAGAAGCATCATCGGGTATATAACACGGAAGGGGATGGAAAACGAATTAAGAAGATTGAAGAATCGCAGAGGGTAGGTTTCGTCACACAACAACAGATCGAAACGGGATAAACAAACCTTAGCTTCGTCAAACAGGGTAGCGGGCAAGCTCTGAGATTCTAGAGAGAGAAAGAGCGAGCGAAGCGAGAAGAGAGAGAGGTCCAAGGGGAGCAGCAAAAGAAAAGAGAAAGAGACCAAAGGCGGAGCCCAAAAACAGAAAATCTGTCAAAAATAAGTTTTCTGTTTCTTATTTTATTTATTAAATTCAAATCATTCATCTTCGTCCAAAAGGAAAATTTTAACAGATGTGTTCATATTTGCTATTTTGCTTGGTAGTTTAATAGTTCTTGTTAAACAAAGTTAATTTTTACCTGCATTAATGTTTTAAAAACTCTAACGTATTCGTTAATCTGATCAAAAATACTAGATGTCAAACTCAAATCGATAGATTTTTTTAGTAGTAGGAAACGATTAAACTGCAATTAACCCATAATATTAGTACAACATCCAATATTACTGACTTTTCTTCTATAATTTCCGGTACGATTGGACAATCTTTCCTCACTCCTCCGTAGGATGTATTCTTCCAATAGGAATTCGGATAAGTTACTATGGGCTTAATTACAAGTTTGGTCACTGGAATTGCTTAAAAAATTCATATTTGCCACTAGAATTACTTTATTCCATTCGTAGTCACTTAAATTAGTTCATCAGTTCAAGTTTGGTCACTCTCCGTTAGTCTCCGTTAACTTTGACTGACATGGCAGTCAACTCTGAAAGTTGACCATTAAATAAGTGACGTGGCAATTAAAAATTTAAAATAAATTAAAATTCAATATTTTAAAAGTGCCACCTCATTATCACAATAAAATAAAAAATACATAAAACAAAATATCATTATAATTTCAAATTATAATTCAACCTGATTTTTTCTTCTCGCTGCGGAATTGGAAATCGGCGGCAATTAGTTCAAGGAGAAGGGAAGAGCTCTGGATCATTAAAGCTCGCATTGTTCACTGCTCCTGCAGTCGCATTGTTCAATGCACTTGGATTTCTATCTTCTTCCCCATCCCGGATTCCCGGTCGGATAAAATGCCAACCATCTCTGCTTTGCCATTGCTTCTTCCTAAATACTCCAACAACATTTCCTGTCCCCGTAGCAAAGCAGAGATAGTAGGAAATTTAAACTCGAGGAAGAACATCATAACTTAAACCCAACATCTGGGAATCCTTATTATCAGCCATGGAAATTTAGCTATAAAGCTAGGAAGGAGTGCAAGAGGGAATCAGATTGTGTCCCTTTTAAGTCTAGGGAGGAATGATGATGGAACCCTGCTCTGCAACTCTGCTCTTTTTCGCCCGATGGGGCTCTGGAGAAGAAGACACAGAAGAAGATGCAGAGTCGTCTGAGCAATCGGAGCTGAAGCTCAAATCCATTATTACCCTATTGGGGCTTCCTGGAATCGAATCCAACTTCCTTCGCTTCTTCCATTGGCTTCCATTTTGGATTCCGAATTATACCAATTCCATAACCAGTAGACTGCAACCATTTTGCTTCTCCTGTCATCACAAGGATTCACGAAATCTGCTTTAGATTATGAGATCTAACTCATTGTAAAAGACTAGATTTTTGCTGCTGCTTTTTATGGACAAAATTGAAAATACCTCGCCGATTCCCAGAATGTCTAGCAACTGGTGTTGGTATTCGGCCCCAAGAGATGGCTCCACGTCATTGATGACATGAAGCATTGCATTCGCGGCCACTACAGATGGTGCATAACACAATGACCTAGAATTTGGAAGAAGAAAAAACGAACAAAAAGTCAAACAAAGAAGCATAGTTTCAGACGAGTTCACGGTAGGACTAAAAACTCTCGATTCGATTTTCCTTGCCTGAGATTACTGAGACGATTAACCGCTCGCATCGACTGACGAACTGCAAGCAGAGATAGTCCTTAAGTCCCAACCGCCTCGCCATGTAATCGAGGAACGACATTGGAGTTACAGGGTTCATCCGCCATTTAATGAGGTGGAAAATTAAAAATATTAAATTTTATTATTTTATTATTTTTTAATTGCCACGTCACACGTTTAATGGTCAACTCTCAGAGTTGACTGCCACGTCAGTCAAAGTTAACGGAGACTAACGGAGAGTGACCAAACTTGAACTGATGAACTAATTTAAGTGACTACGGATGGAATAAAGTAATTATAGTGGCAAATATGAAAATTTTAAGCAATTCCGGTGACCAAACTTGCAATTAAGCCGTTACTATGGAACAAAAAGAGGATGAAAATAAATAAAGAATGGTGGATGAAAATAAAATTTTCAATTAATTAATTAACCTAAATATGGAAGAGAAATAAAATGAGATGTTAGTGCTTTGAGGGGAAAGGTCGGTGGGGGCAAATGTGAGGCCGTGACCGTGAGGGGGAAAAAAGACGGAAAGGGAAGAACGGTGAACGGAGAGACGAAGCGTAGCGGAGGCTGTGTTTGGCTGGAGCTAATTTGTTTAGTCATCCGAGGGATTAGATTTGGTCTATTGGCCAAACAATCCGTTAAGGGTCCACTTCCATTCCGTTATTTACTGTTTAGGATTTTATATTATCATCGTACTGAACAGCGCTATTGACCACGGGAGGACAAGGCGAAGGGGCCGAGTGCGGACGGACGGGGTTGGGAAAAGGTATTAGAGGGCCTGGTTATGGGAAGTGGGCCGAGCTCTATAGCAATTTGTCGGCCTTTTAACGAAACCTTTCTCTAGTGAAGTCGACTTCCAGTTGGGTTGGGAAAGGTGGACTAGCTAACTGATTTGGGCCATCGTGTCTAAATAGAATACTGTGTTTGGAAAGGTGCAGTTTTTTTTTGGTCGGAGAACTGGGAAAGGTGCAGTTCAAATGCATCTACATTAAATTTAAAATTTGGATATTTATTAGTATTTTAAATTTGTTAGTTTTTTATTTTTTAATTTTTGGTCACATATCATAATTTTCATAAAATTACATTTAGTACCCTAATTATTTTTAACAATTTAGTACTTAAAATTTACCTCTTAAAAGATAAGGTCAGCAATTTACCTCTTAAAAAGTTTCCATTATAAAAAATCATTTGATGATAATATATTATATTTTCAGTATCTTTATATGTTCTGTCTTGCATTATAGTACCTTAAATTTTATAAACCTATCAAGTCTATTACTATGAAGATTTTCAAATCACTAGTTGTTGGCATGTATTTAACATGTAAAGGCGGTACATTATCCAAACAAATTATTTCATATATTTGAGGGTAAATTGCAAGGTTGGTCACTGAAAGTGTTAAAATATTCACATTTGGTACCTAAAAAGAATTTTATTCCATTTGTGGTCACTGAAAGTGCTTAATGTTTCACGATTGGTCACTCTCCGTTAGTCTCCGTCCGTCTCTGTTGACAAAATCCGTTCTCTGCTGACGTGGCTAACTGAAAAGTCTAGTCACCTAATTTTAACAAGAAAAATTCAAAATCCGACCCACCACATCATAAAACCCGCCACGTCATAAAACACATTCCAACCCAACTCAACTTCTTCTTCCACTACTGACTCGTCTCTTCATCTTATTCCACTGGTCATCTTAAGCCATCGTGAATTCAGAAGGTCCGCCTCTACGGAGCTGACCCGATCATCATCAACCTAGCCAATATGGGAATCACAATCATACTCTCCCACCATGCTCTCTATATAACCCATCCTTCCCGAGCTCCGAAAATGAAGACTGTATTGGCGGTTGTTAAGCTTCTATGCCTAAGATTTACAAAATTTTTACGGAGGGAGCTTAATGGAGAGGTCGAAATCGACGAGTTCTCAAGGTCATCCTCCGTGATTTAGTCGAGAAGAAGAGAGCCCCGCCAGCACTAACAAGATTGGATCTGGGTTGTTCAATCTTCAACCAGAGAAGAAACTCATCGAGGCGGGACATTGAGGAAGCGAATTAGCGTCTGAGGATCACGATTGAGAAGCTTGAATCCTTAATCGCCCTCCGGATTTCCTCCCTCAGGTTCACCCCTTTGGGCAGACCTCCACCGGCCTTCACCACCGTCAGTTCCGATTCCCGTTGGCCCGCGCACAAGTGATCCGAGAACCCATTCCTCAGTTCCCTGCAACAGCAAATGGACACGTTGGTGCCTGCCATTTTGGGTGGGATTGAGAATGAGAGTGTTCCTTGGCTCCTTGGTATTGGATGAAATTCGCAGAGAAGGGAGGAAGAGGAAGAGCTCGAGAAGGAAGGAGATCAATTGAAACGAATGGCCCCTCAAATTTTAATTTGATTTGGTTGTTCTTAGGTATGACCGTGTTATGGGTTGGGTTCATGGGTTGGGTTGGGAGAATCTGACGTGGCGGGTCAAATTGACGTGGCGAGTCATGAATCTTTTTGTTCGGGTTAACATTAGGTGACCAGACTTTTCTCTTAGCCACGTCAGAAGATAACAGACTTTGTTCACAGAGACGGACGGAGACTAACGGAGAGTGATCAATCGTGAAACGTTAAGCACTTCCAGTGACCACAAATGGAATAAAATTCTTTTAGTGATTAAACGTGAATATTTTAGCACTTTCAGTGACCAACCTTGCAATTTACCCTTTGAATATCAAATTCCAAATACCAAAACAAATCTTCTATACAAACGCATCCTTAGACTAACCACAACCCAGGGTGCAAAAATTGGGGTTTTAAGGCTATTTTGGCCTTTTAGCCCCCTCGTAAACAGAAACAGATGCAACCCCGACGGCTAAAAATTTATGTTTCGAATTTAGTAATCCTAACTTATGAATAGTTAAACTTATGTTTTTTAATTTAAAATTTATATATTCATTCACGATAATTGAATACCAACATTCTGATAAAATTTTGAACAAATTTTGATATACTTTGTTTTTAGTTGAAATGGAAGAAAGTTACACCGAAATGAACTTTGTTCATCAAAATTACCAAGATTTTAAACAATTTCGGAGATACCTTTTTTTCTAGTTGAAATGGAAGAACGTTCCAATTTTTTAATATAATTTTTTTGTTTTCAAATAGCCATCGAACGGTTGAAAGTTACAACGAAATGAATTTTGTTAGTTAAAAGCACTCACAGCAACACAAGTATATTCAATTTAAGTACTAAAACAAAGAAGAGCTAAAATAGCCCCTTAAAACTACTTTTAGCCCTTTAGCTCCTCCTTTTAGCAAGGGTTGAAGAGCAATTTTGATGGCTAA